TGATCACTAATTTCTCAAATTTTCCTTCAGTTTGATTCGTATGACTTTTCATGACTGATAAATTCACTGTCAGAGAGATCAGTGTACATACAGCAATGATATTGCAGAATCGAATATTTCAATGAAGAAGTTTGGAGGAGTGATTTGAGCACAACGCTGGAAATACTTATTTCATCTACGCTGTTATTCATAGAAGAAATAATTATTTATTAAATTGGTTTCAATTTTACCAAGATATTAATTGCTAGGCACATTCGCCTAATAGATGATCAATCCAATTGACTTTACAATGTTTTCCAAAATACCAGCGTCAGCGAATGACTGATATTCATCGATATGAGAGAAACATTACAGTGAAAAGGTGAGCGATTTTATTTGAATTTAACATAACCATGCGGAAGAAGGCAACTATGAACGTGAATTTTATGAACACAGATACATCAAGACATGACACCACAGGAAGCTCGTCAGAGTTAGATACATTTCGTCAAGCTGTGGTGAGAGCAGGCTAGCCAAAAATGGTAGACAGCATTTTACGTCAATGGGTATGTCGCAAATATTGGTCGTGAAAAAAAATATGAACAAGACTGATTCAAAAAACCAATCACAGCAGACTTGGCGTAGACAGATACAGTTAATATATAGATGACCTGACATTCAAGAAACATTAAAACAATTAGTCCCTTTGATAAATTTGAACAAGGCATTAAGAAGACAAATTTCGCGAGATGATATCATTTCGTAGTTTCTTTACAACTGAGTAAATTTCATGAACTTTATTTTATCATTGTTAACCATGTTAGTTGTAAAGCGGTTGTAAAGAAACTACGAAATGATATCATCTCGCGAAATTTGTCTTCTTAATGCCTTGTTCAAATTCAAGAAACAGTCACAAAGTGATGCAAGGTCAACTTTCTGTGAGAAACAACCAATCAGAAGACTGTGTTTGTCTGCTTGAATAAGCCATAATAATGTACATGAAAATATATAAATACGTGTTGATTTCCCTAATAAACGATCTGTTTCCTGGCCCTTGTCTTCTGTTGTTACAAAGCAGCTGTCACTTCAATCGCTTACCAGAATATGTAGGCACAAACTCAGCGATAATCATTGTTGAATGGACTCGGCTGTCTCATCATCAGAGATGAATATTTCACTCAAATACACTTTGCACTGCTTTCACCTTACAGTGTGAACATGAATCTTTAATCAACAACAACCATAACCATATCCCCCTTACACAGTACTGGTCGGTCCTTTCTTGTCCACCTTTCCTCATTCCTCATCTTTCACATTTTCAATCAACTTCACTCGTATATCATCACATAGCATATACGTTGAGTACTAGTCAACACCTCGAACTGGCAAACACACACAAGCACCCTTAGACTGCGATAGATAACTCTGAAGGCACTATTTTTGTCCACTAGGTGACCACTATCATCAATCAAATGAAGCAGCATAGAACTTCTTATATATTTTATTTGACCTTTTCCGAACCATGAAGGAAGATGCTCATTATTGCGTTTGTTAATATTTTGTTGATTCATAGCAAGTTCTAGTCATCGAACAAGACAGATTCCTATGAGTAATATTCACATCTGATTATTACCCTGATTATATCTATCTTATTGTTGAGACTACCAATAATTTATGTGACCTACATGTATAATTAATATTTCAACTGATACATAAAAGATTTACAAGTGTAATTCATATAAATGTCAGTTCATTTTAATTCAAATATACAGACAGATGATATGCACTTTTCTCAGCCATACATTTTTATTTTCGCTGACATATTTTCGAAAGTACAAATGCCTTTATTTCAACTACCTCATCACAATAACCTTTCTTGTGGTTCAGTAATAATAATATTAATAAAGTACGTAGGCATTTATACATTGTTTACAATGAACCACAAAAAGATTAGTACTTTTATTTTGAGAACTGTTCACAACTCAGAAATAATTGGACAAAAAGTGTTTGCACAGGACGTGACCCTTCAATTATTTAGAAATTTGATATTTTTTAAGTTAAGATTATTTGATTGGATGGAGGATTTCATCATGAACTGACATCAGTTAGAGAACCACTAGAAAACTTGGGAGTATTGGACACCTGTTTCGTTCCAGTGCTTGGGACTCTTCATAAGTACGCACTCACCGACACGGCTCCAACCCAGGACCCTCTGGTTACAAGGCTAGCGAGATCGTATACCATTCAGCCACTGAGACCCGATCCAGTGGCCAGTACATGAATTCCAATTTCTGCCGATTCACGACCACTTCGCAATGTCTCCTTCGATGAATTACTGCCTGATCTTCAACCTGCTGTAGCCTACTGATCACTGCTTCTCACTAGGTTTACTTCAAAGAACATCAAAGTGGATATTAACTTCAGTTTTTTAAAGGGTTTGACGGAATTCTCTTACACAGCCTCTAAATTATTCTCGCGTACCAACAACAAAGCAAAAGCCAATATTTGATTGTCCAAACTAAGTGATATATTTCGGGACCAAAACAAGCCTTCAGACGAACGCTTAGCTAGCTAGTGATCGTGCACGTGACACGACGGGGTACCAAGTGGCGGGATGCTTGACCGGAAGCCTTCAGCTAAACAAGTCGACTTAAACAGTGGTGGTCAGCATCCAATGAGCGATTGCTGTGGTCAATAATTTTGGGGAATTACTTACCGCTACAATTTCAACGCAGTAGCATGTATGTAGTCCAAATAGGTGATATAGGACAAACACTGCTGGTGCAGAATAATATGGATCCACTTTATTTCATCTGAGGACGTCCAGACCAGTTTTTGCCAGCTGAAATATTCGAATTACTTAACTGGTTTTACATGAGTACGTAAACTGAAGAAAAATTATGGAGGAAGATAGAACAGTGCCGGACCTTTGGAGCATTCATGTGTCAGTTTTCGACCACGAAATAAAATCTACAATTCAGTCAAACAGAATGTCTCTTTCTAAAAAGACATCTAAGTAATGAGATCATATTTATTGACGCCATGATTTGAGATGAACAGTCAATATTTTTAATCGAATTAATGAAGTCAAAAGAATCTCAGAATGAGTGGCAGAAGAACTGTCTTCTGATTGGCTGTAGCAAGTTAACTAATCACTGGGATGTTCAGTGACAAGGTGAATTTGTCACGTCAATAACAGGACATATCATAATGGATTGGTTGACGCTTCAGGTCAGATAGAACTGTGTCACACAATCTACTGTCAGTTAAATCTTCTATCAGAAGATCCTGGATGAAGGAAAAATATCATGCAATAAACTCCACTGAAAATTCTGTACATCATTTAAACATTGTTGAGAATAAAGTTATTACTATTATTTCTAAAATGACATTGTTTTGTCCATTTCCTAGCCAGGTTGGATATAGTTCAGTAGAGAGCCTTTTACAAGCAGACGAATGGCATAAACAGTGTACTCGGCTCCACAGTATCAAGTAAACTTTATTTCATAATCCAATATATTTTGATCCCCGATTAGAAATACTTTTCTGAACTTCCTGACCTCATTAGAGAATGTACAGTCTAGACGATGACTTATGCTAAATAAAGGTCAAAAATTTGACAGATTCAATAATAAAGTAACTACTTTTGTGATGTTGTGATACAGACATTGTGTTCCAATGGAGTATCATTCTCACATATTCCCACAGTTGAATACTGCGTTAGCAACAGAATACTATGCATATTTGAACATTCTATTCCGTGTTGTTTAATGTAAGCCAACATCACACGCTCGTTTCAACTACAGGCGGACGGAACTGACGAGGATATCAAATCAAGGATCGGGAAAGCAAGACAGGCTTTCATTACTCTCAAGTCTGTGTGGAGGTCAATAGCACTCACCATCAAAAATAACATCCGGATTTTCAACTCCAATGTGAAGTCAGTCAGTGCTACTATACGGATCAGAGACTTGGCCAGCGAGTCATAAAGAGCATCTTAAACAAACTAAAGACCTTCATTAACAGCTGTCTTCGCTCAATACTCAGGATCAGATGACCGGCCAGTAAATATCAGCAATAGGAAGGGATTTCTTGCAATGAGCGAATCAACCCAGAAGGAACCAATTGTGCAACAAATAGGCAGGGAGAAATGTAGATGGATTGGCCATACCCTGAGGAAACCATCAAGTGACATCACTAGACAAGCCATTGCTCGAGTGGAACCCGAAAGGGAAGCGGCGAGTTGGTCGTCAGTGCAAGTGTGACTTGGAGGAGGTCATGTGAAGAGGAGATGAAAGCATGTGGGCAGAATTGGAGCGGGGTGAAAACGTTGGCAGAGAACCCAACGCAAAGAAGACGCGTGGCTGAAGCTCTATGTTCCTCTAGGAATTAAAGGAAATAATATAATAATAATAATAAAATCACACGCTCAGTGACTGGTTAGAGAATATAAAACTGTATAGACATAAATGGCGGTTTGATCACTTGAAAATATACCTCGGCTTCCGTGTCTTATCTCCTGGTGCTACACTTTTATATGACGATTATTCTATTCCCTTTGGTCACCTTCTTAATCTTAGCAACCCTACCTAGAAGATGAATACAATGAGAAAAATATATAATACAAAACATGAACACCAAGGTGATATTTGCTTTCTGTTGTTTTTTGATTTGCAAACCAGAATATGATTTTCGCCTCAAGTTCTTCAAATTCCTTTCTCATTAAGTGATTTAGAATTGCCATGACAACAAATAAGTGTTGTTGAATTTTCCTCTAGTATCTTTTAACAGAATTCATTCAAAGAGACGTACATTGTTTTGTGAGATAATATTTTCCCAAATAGTATTGTTATCATAGCTTGAAGTATTTAACAAGGATTGACACATATCATAAGGTACACACATACGCACACACACATACAACTTTGCATACACTTCACAAACATAATATATCAAGCGTCGAAGTAGAGGTTGATAGTTTAAAGAAAGTAATAATACTACTAAATTCATTCATCGTTATAAGTAACCATGACGTCTCACTAAATTCTTATTTATTGATATTTATTTCAGAAAAAACACCACAATGAAATTGAACATGAACCATTGAAAACATTGAATGAACATCGTTTATCTTGCATGTTTTTTCTATTATCTATTTTAAACATCTTTAAATGAAAAGAAAGTGATTAAAACTGTGCACAGTTTTTGTTTTTCAAGGTCAGTCCTCTACTTTGTTCCCTTTTCATCTATCGAAGGTACTTACGGATGTTAGTAAGAGGAGGAATAACTGTCCTTGATTGTGTCGGTTACATCCATTAAAACAAAAAGAATCTTTATAGGATAAATATTTCATCTACCTTGAATTAACTCACATGTAGTTAATCAGTTAGTCAACGAAGTACCATTCATATAACTATTAGGAAGCAGATATTTAGTGTATAGCTGGAGTTACAAGATTGTATCATTCATACCATCATCAGAAATTGACTTTCTACTTCATGAAGGGAGGTAGAATAACTCTGTTTGGTTAATAATTCTTGCTTTCTATTTATTTATCTTTTTTTGTTACTCTTAATGATTTTGGTAATGATTGTGATGACTGAGGTGTTTCATCATTTTGTTTTATCACCGAATGATATAAACTTAGAAAATCGTGTCATACGATTCATTTTTGGCGCTATACTTATTTTATGCGTACCTCTACGTGTTAATCGTCGATTACCAAATTTGCCTGTTTTACGTCTAAGTAATACACCTAAAAATTTACTGGCTTTTTGCAAACGTTGACTTTCTAACAGAATTAATGGTAACAGTTTACGTTTATTCATATTTGCACGTTTTTTACACATCAATAATAATCTGCATTCATTATCAATAATTTCTTGAATAATTGCTTTTTGCTGGTCATCTGTCAAAGAACGTGTCATCCAACGTCTTGCTGCCCATATACTTAAAAATATAATTAATATTAAAAATAAGCCAATTAGTAATACAGTTAGTGCTATTTGTCGTAATATTTTAACTGTAATTGGATGTTCACTAATTTGCCATAGTAGAGTATTGGTTGGATTAACTTTTAAATAGAATTCATTAATCAGGTATATACGACTCATTGATGACCATGGATTACCAACACGACTTGGTAAACCAGATGCTGGTATATGTAGATAACATCTCCATGTACCATGATGGGATAAATTCAAGTATTTAATTAATTGTACACGTCGATCTAAGCGTATCGCTAATCCTCGACTATATTCATGACCATTTAACTGCCAAACAATCTGCGCTGATTCCATCCATACAGCCATATTATTTAATGTATTCATAACGCCTAAATTTGAATGCAGATAGAATGGATCAGCTTCTAAAGCGATGTATTTTATGCCGGTAACAATTAACGTATAGAATATCATATTCCATTTATATTTACCCATGCTGATTTGACATGTATACACTCCCTGATCGCCTTGTTTTATACTCGAAAACACTAAATATGTATCCTCCATATGAATTGATGACGAAGTATCCAATAATAAATTCCAACGTATTTCTTCATCAGCTAACTTGTTCACCTTCTCATTATCATTCAACCGTTTTACTTTAGTGACAACAGAAGTTTTTGATTTCCTCTTCGAATCAGAATTGTCAAGATTTAAAGGTCTTCCATTTTTTAACCATCTTATAGTCAATGTATTACCGGTTAATGCTCTTTTCGCCGCTCCGATAATCCCGCGTACAGATAGTCTTTTAGCAAGATTATACGCTGGTGTTGCACAATCCATTCGAACTTTTTGATTTTCATGTTTCCGTAGAATATTATGAAATATATAAAAATCAAGTTGATCCCGTTCAACTTGATAGGTGATTTTATTAGCAATATTGTCTGGAGCATTATCAGTTCTACCGAAACAATCATAACTACACTGAGCTATTTGTTGATTAATACCGGAACAATTTATGCCAAATGGAGGTGGTTCTGGTGGTGGATTATTACAACGTCGATAACGACTTTTACTGCCACTACGACAGCCTTGTCCATCAAATTCTTGATTATCTTCAATTGGTGAACATGATGACCATGGACTCCATGCTCCCCAGCCTGGAACACGTGGACAACGTATATTTACAACGCATGGTATACATTCTTCAGCTTCTGATTTAGATAATTCTGTATTCTGACACATTGTTGTTGATGACTGAACAGTACCATAGCCATCAATACAATTCCGAACTCGACATCTCACACCTTTGCCACAAGTAACAGAACAAGTGAGTGGTGTTTGAGACCATTGACCCCATCTATATTCCACATTTCTATTGGCAAATAAATACTGACTTATTAAGTAAGGTAGTATAATAACATAAATGATCCAGGAGTAATAATTTAGCATTGAAGAAAAAGCTTATCCATAAGCGTTCTTTATAAGCTTCTAAAAAGGTGTCACAAAGGTTAATTGATTAAATCAATCGATTGATATTATTTTTAAATAATGCAACACATCTAAACTGATTGTAGAAAATAAATGTCTAGGTTATTCATTCTAATCTTCAAGAATATCCTTTTCTCAAAAATATTTATTAAGAATTATACTTCACAATCCCTTGCTCATAAACATATTGGTGGTTGTGAGTAGGAAGCCGAGGCGAATCCAGGGATGTTGACAGACAACGACTGTACCTGCAAGACTCTATAAATATGAATAGTAAGACGAATTGTGGCTTAGAAAAATGTCCCACATAAAAACACGGGGCTATTGTGAGTACCTTGAAATCTTGACGCTCATGTGTCCCTATTGGTGGGGAGAGAGAGGAACAACAAACGAATATGATTGGTTACAGGATTTCATCATGAGCTGACGTTAGTTAGAGAACCATTGGAAAACCTGGGAGTACTGGACAGCTGTTTCGTCAAATCCCTACAAAACCAACACTTGAATATAAATGAGATGCTCACTAGCGACTTGCCCTTTTCAGGTAGGTAGCTACCTGGGGTTCTAGTGAGAAGTCGTGACCAGTAGGGTGCAGTGCGTCGGGTGTGAGAAAAGGAATAATTTGCGGTCAAAATCAAACTGTACTTAACCAAGACCCACTAAATACGGTGGTCATAGTGTGAGATGAAAGAAGCAGGTGCATCTGACAAGAGGTAAATTATTCAGAGCAAGAGAAATAGCATGATGTTCAGTGACGTGAACTGTATAAACCTACAAAGACTGGAACACTGACTATGTAACCCATTCAACAGTTTTTTTGAAAGCTCTACCCAGTGTCCTTTACTGTAAGGAATAATTGTCCATGGCTGTTTAACACCGATCCACCTGAGCTGAGGCTTGTGATGAACTCCAAATGATTAGGCACCATGAACCATGAGGACTAGACAATCCAGTTTTGGATTTTTTTAAGATGGTGGTGAGACAGTAGTTACGAAACCTACTGGACGGTTCATGAAAGTAAGAAAATTTGAGCATCCGATCAAAGTGGAATAAGGCCATCATTGCGCAATTCTTAACAAAAAGGATCTACGGAATGCATGCGACAATCGGCTGGTTAACAGTCTGTTACAAGTTGCGTCTAAAATAATAGCTGTTATCGTGCTTCACAGCCCTGGTTATTGATTGAGTTTTTCTGGCGCTCATTGCTGTTAGTGTCGCAGAGTTAAGAGATGAGGGACCTGCCTGAGGAATAGTATTAAGAAAATGAGGATAGCAAGATGAAAGTGGCAAGGACAAAGGTAGTTGAAGATCAGGAGAGCTTTGTGTGCTTTCGGAAGTATGTGGGCAGTTGTTACTTCCCGGACACCTACACCGTGGACGTCGGTTTGTTCTTGGGATACATGAGACAGCAAAAGTATTAGTGTTGCCTGACTGCAGAGCCTAGGAGACAACTGTCTGAGGCCAATTCGAATAGACTTTTCGTACTGCATCCGTATTAAGATCTTACCACTGGTTGCAGATCACTGCAAGGTAAGTGAGGATTTAAACTTTCCAGGGTTAACCTCTTCTAACCCCCCCCTCCCCAGAGCGGGGAGAGAGAAATGCTGTCATGATGCTCATCCAAGGAAAACACCTTGCATCCCCGTTAACCAGTAGTACAACTTCACCTACAGACCCGCAATATGGTGCAAACAAATTACACTCCCGACCGAAAGCTGCTACCTTGACGTGGTGGTCGGGCTTGAACACCGCAATGACCTAATCAAGCTATACTGGCTGAGACTTATGTCTCTTGAGGTTCTACCATGCCAGGCAGGTTGTTTGGATAGCGGTTAAACAAAAAGCAGCTACCCCATCCAATACCATGATCCAAACAAATTCACAAAATTTCATGCCGGATCGGCCGTGGCCCGGATTAACAACGACCGCGCTTCCTGCTGCCGTGTCACAGGGCAGGAGTGATAAGTATGCTACTGAGGCACACCAAACAAAAGAGAACAAACAAAAACAGGCCGCGTGTGACCGGCCTCAAGCAGTTGTCCCCTGGGCTCTGCGGTCACGCAACCAACTTCCACGGTGTGGGCAGCCGGGAAGTAACAAACGCCCTCACAATCCGAAATGCACACAAAACCTCTCTAATCCTCACTTATCTTTGTCTTCATCTTCATCTCTATTACCTTGCCTTCCTCCCACTGATGCAACTCCTCTACTTGATGGCTCCTCACTCCCTCTTCACTCTGTGTCCACTAAAAACGACGGAAGCCAAAAAACCACCACCGATAGTCTCCTAAAGCCACGCCACCAATTTCATATAGGAGCATTTAATGTTAGGACACTTTGCCAAATAGGACAACAAGCATCACTAGCTAAGACCCTGGCATCCGAGCCATTGATGTATGTTGTGTTTCAGAAACACGCATACAAGACCCAAGTGTGGTTATTCACCTAACCCCACCTGGCCAACAGGATGAATCTTCAAAATTCACCTTGAGGGTGTCAGGAGATGCCACAGCTAGTTCACGAGGATTAGCTGGCGTAGGGATAGCTTGAGTACTAGGGCAGAAAAGACATTGCTTGACTGGATCCCGGTAGATAGCCGAATGTGTGCTGTCCGTCTGAACGGATCAGTAAGAAGGAGAAAGGACTGCACTACTCGCCGATGCCTTTTCGTAATCTCCGCCTACGCCCCCACTGACTGCAGTTCGGATGAAACGAAGGATGAGTTCTACCAAAAGCTGTCTAGTTTGGTGCGAAAGGCTAAACGCTCAGATATAGTCGTTCTAGCTGGTGACTTTAACGCTCAAGTAGGGAAATTGTGTCAATCTGAGAAGGATGTCGGTGGCACCTATGGAGTTCCGTGCCAGCGAACCGACAACGGTGACCGTCTCCTACAGTTCTGTTCTGATAATCATTTGTTTCTTGTAAGCACTAACTTTAAACACAAGGAGAGACACTGTTTAACCTGGCGACCCCCTTCATCAAACCAACGCTGGACACAAATAGACCACATAGCAATAAGCTATCGTTGGCGTGGGTCGGTAGGAGATTGTCGCTCCTTCTGGAACACGTGTGTAGATACCGATCACGCACTGGTCCGGGCTCGTGTGTGCTTACGACTGAACGGACGTAGGAAACAGCTGGCGGTAAAACCATCACGTCCCCAGCTCGATCAGGAAACTAAATCCCTATTTGAGGAAGAACTAGCTAAACGCATATCTGAGTTCGACAGCTGTGCTCACCCTGAAGAAGCCTGGAAGAATATTCAGTCAGCTATAGATACAGCTGTAAAAGCTGTGAATAAGAAATCCAAAGGTGAGTAAAAACCACTGGATTTCGACTGCCTCATCCGAACTGATAGATGCTAGAAGACTTATTCCGGCGAGCTCCGAATTCAATGAGGAGCGAAAGCTGCACAAAAGGAAACTTACTAAAAGTCTCCGCAAGGACCGTGAACAGTGGTGGGTGACAAAGGCGAAAGAGATGGAAAAAGCTTCGACGATAGGCAACTCTTTAGACTCATCAGGGAAACGGGGGGAGAAGGCAAATCATAAGTGAGACTATTTCTGAGAAAAATGGCTCCTTAATTAGCTCTCAGGATAGACGCCTTGAACGCTGGAAAGAACACTTTGAGGGACAATTTAACTTGCCTACAGCCACACTGAACCTCCCCCCGCCCAATGTCTGAATTAGCTTCTTTAGGACACACAAATTAGGCTTCTTGATGTGGATCCCAACAGCCTCAGAAATATTTAGTAATCTAACTCTTAAGGCGAAATTAGGATTTGTTGGTATGTGGTAAATGACTCTGAAAGCCACCTGGTTAACATCAATCTTGTGTTCTGTACCCACAAGATGAGACAGAATGACGCCACGAATAGACTTTGTTTGTCCTTTGCCTAACCACACAGGGTGATGTTCGGAAATCCGATGAGAAAGACATAGAAATAGTTTTCGTGCTTACTGTCACTTATCAGCAACACGTACTTTCAACGTTGAAGGAAATGACATGTACTTCGAGATTCGAACCCGCATAATTAATGCCCGTAGACAGAGTCGTTACCACTGAGCTGCTCAAGCTCACGGTATCCTGACATAAATGTTATTCTTGCTTTGTTCAGGTTCATCAATTGGAAGTATTGTATATTTTATTACTGTATAATTATAAACTCTTTGAAGTGCATCCTTAGTGTCCATATTATACAAAATTTGTGTTTTAAATATTTATAGCAATAACTTTGGTAATACTTTTATGATATGTAACGTACGAAACAAAAGCAACTGCACTAAAATGTCAGAACCTAAGCTCTACACTCTCCAACAGAAATTGTTCTCTCATCATGTTTGACCATTTCAAGAGCATTCTATGTCTGATTACTTCCTCTTAGGTGCGATTCATTTTAAGCCTCGCAACTGCAAGTGATGTACCTATATGTGCAGTGTTTCGCGTTTATTTTTCTTCCTGCCTAGTACTCATGATAAAATGCGGATGAGGAATAAAACTGAGACCGTGCTACACAAGGCGATATGACTGACATAATTATATTATTGTTCCCTTTAGTTCCTAGAGGAACATAGAGCTTCAGCCAAGCGTCTCCATTGCGTTCGGTTCTCTGCCAACGTTTTCACTCCGCTCCAAGTCTGACCACATGTTTTCATCTCCTCTTCAAATCACCGCCTCCTCCATGTTACCCTTGCATTGACGACCAACTCCCCGCTTCCCTTTCGGGTTCCATTCGAGCGATGGCTTGTCTAGTGATGTCACTTGATGGTTTCCTCAGAGTATGGCCAGCCAATCCACCTCCATTTCTTCCTGCCTATTTGTTTCACAATCGGTTCCAGCTAGGGTGGTTCGCTCATTGCCAGAGATCCCACCTTGTTGGTGATCTTTTCTGGCTGGCCATCTGATCTTGAGCGAAGACAGCTGTTAATGAAGGTCTGTAGTTTGTCTGAGGTGCTCTTTATGACGCGCAGTGTAAGTCTCTGATCCGTATAGTAGCACTGACTAGCTTTACATTGGAGTTGAAAATCCGGATGTTATTTTTGATGGTGAGTGCTGTTGACCTCCACACAGACTTGAGAGTAATGAAAGCTTGTCTTGCTTTCCCGATCCTTGATTTGATATCCTCGTCAGTTCCGTCCGCCTGTAGTTGAAACGATGCTTTCCAGGTAGGTAGGTAAAGGAGGTTGTTTCTTTCAGGTTCCTCCCATTTATGCTGGCTGATTGTTGTCTGACTGACATAAAACCTAGTATTATTATTATTCCCCTGGGTTACGAGTGGGATATGGGAATTCAACACTACAAAACCTCTATTTTATCCTCTATTCTGCAGTCCTACACGATTGCCCATGAGTTTTTATTTCCTTCTCACATGATGTTCCCCTCGTCACTCTCGGACGCACCCATGTGGGTTCCACTAAAGGGTCTGCTGAACCTAATGTTATTGTGCACTAACCGCAGTTGTTTTCATGTTTAATGAGTAAAAACTGGAGAAATTTATATTAGGATATTTATTTTCGATAAATTACACTATTCAATTGTAGCTAAAGCTTCTTCTAATTGTTTCCATGGACAAATATTTTCATCATTTGTCGCCAGTAGAATACAATAATGATCGAATAATTGCATAGTCACTTCAAGATCGTCCAACATTTCTAAATGTTCTATTCTGTAAGGAGGGGAAAAAAAGTGGAAGAAACAGTACACGCATTTATATATACATTCTCTCCTATGTGAGTGGCATAAATATGCATTTCTTTTTTCTTCTCCAATTTATTACTGCAAAACATTTTCACTAAGGTATTTAAGATATATACAACCTAAGTGAAGTCGATTCCAATAACACCAAGAATTATTGTCATACTGATGTTTTTATTATACGTTCAATAAATTTACCAGAGAGCACAACGAATAGCACTGTATTCAACTGGATCGATTTCATTTAGTATTGAGGAAGTGTTGTGACATAAACCACTTCCCAAGATAGTGAAAATAAGAAATCTAGGCTGAAGCTAAAGCATTAGCAATCCGAAAATTCAAGCCAACGCTAAGTATATAAACGAGTCTAAAAACTGTCTTTATCTCATGGCTGTCATAAACAGTTCATTCTCCCAAAAACAACAAAACATTACTAACGGATTACGTTTATGTCCGAACTTCCCGTTTATTTTTCGTATCATTATGTTTTAATCCCCACTGGTTTTACATAAATTCATCTTCTTATTCGTTATGTCTTGACCTCCGACCAGAAATAGTCTGGAAACTTCCTCATCCTATTTTTATTCACTCACGAACGTACAGCCTAGCTGAACACTTCGTTCCAAAGAAAATTCTCTTCTTCTTGAATCCAACGAAAAGCACAGACTAAAATTTTCCCACAATTACAGTCATCTATAAATCTTTTATGTGTCAACTAAAACTACGCTCCTAGCTAATTTCATTTGTTAGATTTCGTCATGAAACAACATCAGTTAGAAAGATCACTTTAAAAAAAAGGAGCACTGGACCCATGTTTCGTCCTGTTTCGGGACTCTACAGTGTACACCCATGCCCCCCACAACAGACCAAATCCAGGGCCTACACGTTACTAAGCCAAGGTTGTTAGCCATTCACTTGCTTCGGTCAAAAGTCGTGGGTGTATGCTGGTGATCAGTCAAACTAAAATGAAGCAGCCGTCCAGTGGACCTTAGTTTTCAATGATCTCCCTGTCTAATGTTGGTTCGTGATGAAATCTAACAACTGAAATTGAATCAATCCAAATCCCATAGTCTATATAAAATTATCGTTGACTTCTTAACACAAAGATATGAGATATTTTCAGGTCTTTTCACATATGTGTCATGAAAATACCTAGACAGTTAATTTTAAAAAGAAACTAGCTAAGTTATACTACTGGTTACAAATCAGTAGTGTAACATAATGCGACAAATTTGGATACACAAAGAATCGTCATTTAAACAATTAGCAGGCAAAACGATTGAGCGAAGAAATACTTGCTTTTCAATCTCCGGCTCTACTCTCTCTCTCTCTCTCTCTCTCTCTCTCTATAATATATATATATATATATATATATATATATATATGATAATTAACAAGGAACATTAATGCACAATTAAAAAGAAATGGTTACAACAAGTGGATAACATGATGCATAATTTTGGAAAAATGAAGAGTAACTAAGGAATGTGCTATAAATAAATAAATAAGCAGCAAACGGAAATTAAATAGCGTATTGACCAAAAACATAGGAAAGCCCTAGACAGGCTGCGAAAGAATGACAATGTAATAATTACTAAACTGCATAAATTATTCTGGAGTAGTAATCATGAATAAAACGGAATACCTAGACAAGATAAATGGAATGCTGAGTGATGACCGAAAACTCTGAAAAGATTTCACCTTCCACTGATCCGACTGAAAAGGTGAGGAAACAACTAATTGAGTCATTAAAATGGTACCAACCATCTCAGAAGGTTTATATGAATTACTCAAGCCTACGGGTACAGTTACACCAAGATTATATAGGCTGCCTAAAGTGCATAAAAATGGTTTGCCACTTAGACCAGTATTAGACATGTCTAATTACCTATATTCCGCAACAGCCAAATGGTTGGCAAAGCTCCTAAAGCCTCTGCATGACGAACTGGTAAAACATAATGGAAAAGATAATTCTGAACTTGTCGAAAGAATAAGAGATTTAAATTTGAATGACAAGTTTATGATATCTTCTGATGTATCCTCTCTAATGTACCGTTAACTGAGACAGAGGATTTCACATGTGATGAGATTATTAAGCGAAATATAAACATCGGTATTTCGGTATCCTCGATGAAGCAACTTATTTTAAGGTATACGATGAATGTTTATTTCTTGTTCAACAATACTATAAACAAACTGATGATGTGGCTATGGGTTCCCCATTAGGTTCAATTTTTTCCTCGCTAAGTTACAGAATGAACCACTGAAAAGAGTAACTGATGAGATGAAAGTCGACTGTCAATATATGGAAAATAAATTTCTGATTATGAGAAACGAGAATGAAACAACGAACATTCAAGTTCAATGATGCGCGTTCGGCAACAAACTGCATTATAGAGAAAGAAAGTAATGATAGTATCTCATTCCTAGACGTCTTCTTGACCAGGAGAGAGGATGGTACACTAAGAAGAAGTATATAAAGGAAACCTACAAAGACAGCTCAGTACACACATTTTTGAGTTTCGCACCTTTGAAATATAAACAAAACACGGTAGTGTTTGGTTCATAGACCTAGGATAATCTGCATAAACGACTCTGTCAATGAAGACCTTAAGATTACCAGAGAATTACCAAGTTCATTGAGAAAAAATATGAATTTAGCACCAAAACAAGCCAGTAGGGCAACAGATCCGAAAAAGCTACTGTTCATAAAATTGTAGTTCCTCAGTGATAACATTAGCGTAATGGTAACACAGCGTCTGGGGAATGCAGTTAAAAGAGCATTTGACGCAGCAGCATAGATACACCGTCTCCTTATCACCACCCCTATTTCACATTCGAGAAATAAGAACAAACTACCTCATTTCACTTCCTCTAAGTGTATCTACCAGTTTGAATACAGATACGGAGCCAACTGCATTGATTGTACTATCAGGCGGGTTCATAATCGTATTTCAAACACCACCGTGAATGGTTAAGCAAGCACAGTATTTAAAGTTATTTGTCGCATCCCAACTAATCTCAATTCCACTTTACGAACTCGTCTCTTACATACAGCTGGAGCTATCTGAATCCATTTGAAGAAGTCAAACCTATGTGTGTAGAACAAATTTGTACGACAACTTCCCTAACCTTGACCATCGTTACATGAATGTAAAATCTTGACTATTTTGCAGTCCCCCCTAAGCCTCTTAGAGATTATAATTTTTATGACTGCTTCATCTACAATTACAAATTATCATTGTTTAAATTGTTTTATTTCTACTTGAATTACCTATTACGTAACCAACTTGAACACTGGCTTATTCCTTAATTACTCTTCATTTTTCCAAAATTAAGCATCATGTAATCCACTTGTTGTAGCCATTTCTACCTTTTTAATAGTGTGTACTAATTTTCCTTGTTAATCATCACCCCCCCCGCCGTCTGACATGTTGATACCGAGCAATCCTTGTTAACAAAGATACCGCCACTAGGGTGGAAAAATTTTTTTGGATTGTATTAAAAATCCAATAAATTTGAACGCTTATTCATTAGAGTGGTGGTTAAATTCCACTGGTTACAGATGTAATGTTGGATAAAATATATTTTCATGAGACTTTTTCGGCTCTCTACGCAAAGGGAACTCGTGGCTTATTTAAATACTACTACTACTACTAGATAAATAACAAATTTTTAAAAATCGTCATAAATTTTGCTTTTATTCCTATGCGTTCCGAGTGGAACACAAGGGATTCAAGCATCTTTAGAAGTTTCAGTAGCCTTGGTATTGCTTATATGGGATGTTGTTGCTAGCCATACGATTAAACCCCCCTCTTTTTCCGTCTTACTATCGGTTATTAATTATTATTATTTCCTTTAATTCCTAGAGGAACGTAGGGCTTCAGCCACGCGTCCCTATTACGTTCGGTTCTTTTAGAGTTTTCACCTGGCTCCAAGTCTGACCACGTGTTTTAATCTCCTCTTCACATCACTGCCTCCTCCATGTAACCCTCGCACTGACGACCAACTCGCCGCTTCCCTTTCGGGTTCCACTCGAGCAATGGCTTGTCTAGTGATGTCACTTGATGGTTTCCTCAGAGTTATTAAAATAAGGACTTTTTTGTTTAAGGGTACATCAGTCGGGAGTCGAACTCGGATCACATATACGGATTGGTAAACCCATTCTACCAATGAGCCACTAACTTACTTCATAACTTTATAATGGAGTTACCATTAAATATCTATGAATATAGTAAGACTAAAGTGTTATAGATTGTGGGCGTCCAAGTTATTATTGTTATTCATACTTGCGATCCCCTGCAGATGCTTCTGAAATGAATTAACTAACCCTGAAAGGGTATCTCGATATTACTGTGACTACTAAGTTGAACTTATTTATTTGGTGGTTTCTAATAGTGGGTTCTACGAAGTGTCGCTCGTCCTGTTTGGAACTCACCAACTGGATCTACCTGCTCCCCTGTCAATAATAGCACTCCCGATAGGACTTGAACCTAACGATAGAGAGTTATTCGATATGCCAGTAAACCATGAAAATATTCATACTTGTAATATCCGATTGGACTGACAAGTGATAAATCCTCTTACTGGATTTCACTGCTGGCTACCTCAAAACAGAAAATTTAAATTATTAGGCCTAGCTTTAAAAGAAAAATATTTTTGTGCATTAGGAGAAGAATCCTTATAGCACATGAGTTTTTTTACCATTGTTTGAAATTCAATATGCTTATAAGTATAAAAAATGTGATGCATTGACTGTTACCCATAAAAAACGTGTTCACACAAAATATTGTAGATAAAATTCAGTAGACGTTGACATGACTCATACAGTCGTTATTTGGTGTGCATTTCAATGTGTACACAGTGACACTTTTATTGTGCAACAGCATTGTAAATTTAAAGGTCTGCAGTCTTTCCTTTAATTACCTGAAGGTTGCGTCAGTAGTCCAATGGCAGAATGCTCCCTCCCAGCTACGTGGATGATCCGAGTTTAATTCCCCACCGAAACACCTAAACCTCGCCTAGTTTATTACCGTTAATAAGCCTGGAAAAGAGGGAAGGTTAAGTGTGATGCTAGCAAACCCACCAAGTAAAAGTAACCCCACTGCTACTGAAAATTCAAAGCTTGAAGCATGAAGACTTACGTCCTGCTCGAAAACCAAGGTAAGAAGAGACTTGAAGGCTTGTTCTCCAGAAACAGACATCTAAGAAGAACTGAGCATGTCAATTAAACATGCTCCACTTAACATTAGTAAATTTTAGAGATGCCAGCAATAGGAAGGCGTGTGGAAACTTAGTAGTACTACGTAACAGACGCATTCTCGATACAGGTTATATCATCAAGTGAAGTAAAACTTTTCATGTGGCTAGCAGACACAATTAAAGTAGACTGCTGCATTGTGCAGGAGTAACAGCAATCTTGTGAATGAACTCCATCTTTTTTTTACTCCTGGCATTCTAAGTGAAACTAAAAGCTATGAAGTTTTTGTCGGGTGGGGCTACGCCAACCTCACGCTCACTTTTCCCTCTTTTCTCGGCTTACTATTTGGTTAGTAAACCCACAAGTTTTAGGAGTGTGTCAGCCAGGAATAGAAGCCAGAACTCTCATGTAGCTGTCAACTGCTCCACTATAGATAAAAATTCACATAAAGCAAACTAACTAAATGAAAATAATTTTCAACAGGCATCAATTATAAATGATGTTATTTCATCTATACTACTTATACTGTTAATAGTAATATGGTGAGTTACCTGTAACGTGTGGTGGCAGGTAATGCTTTGTAAACTTGATTTATTGTCCAACCTTTCGCTTTCTTCCAACCAGCTTTAACAAATCTATGTAAATCATGAGGTACGTAGAAGAAAAAGACAGTAGGTAAGTGGACCAGGCTTTTTTTATTTCATTTTGATATACAAATATAATTGCTTGGTCAAAGTTTTAATGTCACTACTCTTACATAACCACTATCTTTAGGTAATTCATATAGTCGACAATAGTTTCAAGCAAAGATATAACGACCCCCACCCTCCACCACTGCTCACTATTCTCTATACTCTTCACGTAGCAAATCAAGTTGTAGTCTAACTATCCATCTGCATATTGAATTGCGACTTCAGGCATTGTTTACGCTTGCGAAGTTGCCTGTATGTCTATAGCCTTGAAAGTATTGTTTGAAAGATAGATTCTGTTAGCATACCACTGCCTCAATCCTCATCAGGTGAATAACTCATTCTCTGAGGTATGATTCTATCCCGGCTTTTTAAAAAAAAACTCATGTCTCTTTCGTTAACTAAGTAAAAGTAATTTGAGATAAAAATTTTACGAAACTTCCAATTCAGAATTCTGTTCTGTTTAAATAATTTGTTCGGATTACACTTAACAAAATTTCCTTATGGATAAGATTTATTTTGATAAAATCTCACAATGTTATACAGTTTTTACGAGTTGATCACGAATTGATACCAGCTAGAGAACCATTGAAAACCACCACTGGAGTACTGGACAGCTGTTTTATCCTAGTTTGGGAATCATCGGTAGTTCTCTAACTGATATCAATCCGTGATCAACTCGTAAAAACAAGTCGAATCCTTATAAACCAACTATTGAAAATGTTATACAGTATTATTTACTGATGACGTTTGGAGCACAATTTATCGCTCATTATCATATTAAGTTGATATGATTATGGAATTGTACTCTACCACAGTGTCCAAGTTCTTTAGTATCAACAATTTCGATTTGAAAAACAGAGTAGTAACACAAACTCACAGTGTGGATCATAGCCTAGTAAATAAAAAAATATATATCGAGTAATTGAGTTAGATACCTGTGCAGTGTACTGCCTAATATAAGACATCTTTACATCCCCCTTGTGTTTCGAGTGGAACACATAAAACTTCAAGCTTTAAGCACTACCAACGTGTCAGTAGCGCAGTGTTCTTGTTTTATGGAATTGGGGTGCATGTTTTACTGGAAAAGAACAACCGTGTACACAGGTTAGACTGAATTTAACTGTGGTCCATTATATGCAGAAAAATTCATTTGTGATAAAGATTATATAAGTGACAAAAAGCTACTTTTGAACAGCTGTTGAATAAACAGAAATACTACGTCAGTCTAATACAAACCACCCCACAGCTAACTACATTTAACTTCACACTTAATTCAGTGAATATTTTATGCCTTGCAGTGTGCGATCGAGGAATGCTGCTTAGTTTAATGAGTAGCAGTTGGTAATTTCCAACGCACATTTTACCCATTAGTAATGTGTAGGATGGAAAATATTTCCGAAGTAAAGGATATTTTTTCTGACTGTTTCTAATCTACAAGGCTGTTTATATACATTCATTTACCAGAAGTTCAGCTTACCTTTCTTCCTGAGTAGTCAGTGAATCACAAGCCTCAAGACCAGGAAGTTCACAAGAACGAGCACGAAAATTTTTGATCATTATAGAGCCAAACTGATCGCTCATATTAACCTGTACGATGAAAGAATAAAAAAGATTCTCTTCAAGTATGATAAGTAGGAAATACATCTTGCCAGATAAGTAGCTGTCAACTTTCTCGATTACGTAAGACTATTCATTTATTTTTCAAACATGGCTACTTCTCATATACTTTGAGTGACCTCTATTGCTAACTGAAAATAACCTCTGAGATTTTTTGACACCCCCCTAAATAAATGTATAACGTTGAAGGTAATTTACAAAAAGCGATCACTTTATTTATTTATTTAAACGCAGAAAAAACTTGGTACAATATGACACCAAGAAAGATGTGCCACACATTTCATCTGTTGTGTGAGGGCTGAGTGTTATAACTGTAGGGAATTAAATGAGGACGTTGTCGCCTTGTTCTGTCTGCCCCTGACTAATATGCCTATCTGCTAGTAGTACCTTCCGATTCAGTGAACCACGCAAATATCAAAAGACAAAGGCTGGCCTGTGACTATGTATTGTAGTACAACAACTACGACAAAGAACTTATCTAGGAAAACAACACATGGTATTTATACATTTTTACAACAATACAGACGGCTAACAGCATTTGAAATAATTGATCGTAATAATCAATAACAAAGTGCGTGGGAAATGATGATATACCATTTATGCGAGATTAACAGCCGTTGAAATAATTGATCAATAACAAAGTGCGTGGGATCCTATCACTGAGATACTACCCGAGGGCGCCCAGACAGAAGTAGGTGGTTTTCTTAAGGGACCACCCCCGAGCCTTTGACTTGGAGTCTAATCCGCAGGGCAGCGGAGCAGCGTTAGAAGCTGCATTCTCATGGTTTCCGGTGACCCATATGGGTTCATACGCCATTTGATCCGATTGGATTCTGGAGCCCATATATCCCATAGTAACTGCTTTTAGTCTAACCGATATCCAAACAACCTTCCTGACATGGTAGGACCGGCAGGGACATGAGTCCCAGCCAGTTCAGCTTGTTGGGTTACTGCGGTATTCAAGCCCGACCACCACGGCAAGGTAGCAGTTGTCGGCCGGGGATTTATGTATTCTTATTTCAAATTATAAAAACAAAATTGGCCAAGACGACATATCAAAACAAGACAGTCTAGTCAGTATTCAAAGGTGAATTTATAAAAGTAGCACACTATTTACTTCACTCTATCACAGCAAACTATTAAGCATATCAATCAACAGTAGTGTCCCTGATAGAAATTCCACAAGTCATGTGAAGATCTAATATCCTTCGATGAAACTCCAACAAACATGGCAAGGCTAAGTGTAAATACCGAGCAAAGGGTTTGATTATTTGATACAATAAAATATTCACTCGAAACGTGATTTCTGGATGTTTTTTATTTGAGCATGAAAACACCTTAACTAAGACTGTTTCCTTCTTGGAAATCAAGCCAGTAATGTTTTATGGTGTAGCCAATGTAACTTAGTGGTCACAGTTGGCATCATCACCTCAGCCTTATTCAATGCAATCGATGTAGAAAAAGGTTACGGAATAATAGCCCGTATCCAATGGTTATCTCAGGTAGAGACAAAACAAATACCTAAAACTAACAGAACACACTGCACTCAGGTTAGATAGTCTCATGATGGTTATTATTGCATTTTTTCTTACTTACACAACACACATTAACAATCTGAAATACTGCATGGCAAAGACTGATATTAGAGATAGCAGATTGAGTAAAGACTGGAGTCACATATGTGTAAGGGATAGTATGGAAGCACTAACAAAGGGTGACAAAGGCGAAAGAGATGGAAAAAGCATCGGCGATAGGCAACTCTTTAGACTCATCAGGGAAACCGGAGGGAGAAGGCAAATCATAAGTGAGACTATTTCTGAGAAAAATGGCTCCTTAATTAGCTCTCAGGATAGACGCCTTGAACGCTGGAAAGAACACTTTGAGGAACAATTTAACTTGCCTACAGCCACACTGAACCTCCCCGACATCCACCACACCCGAATGGGATATAGACACTGGTCCGCCGTCTGTAAGTGAGGTCACAAAAGCTATCAGTAATTTGAAACGAGGCAAAGCGGCAGGACCCGACGGAATTATTCCGGAGGTGTTTAAATATGGGGGTGACATACTAGTTTGTAGATTAACTGAGGTACTAGGCAAAGTCTGGGAATCAGAGACAGTTCCATCAGACTGGGGTAAGTCACTTATTATACCGATATTCAAGAAGGGAAACAAGTCCTCGTGTGATAATCATAGGGGGATCAGCCTAACGAACATAGTCTCTAAAATCCTAGGCTCAGTAATCATGCATAGACTAAGCAGAACTCGGGAGGAACAGACAAGGGAAAATCAAGCAGGCTTTAGACCAGGTAGAGGGTGCATAGATCATATCTTCACTCTTCGACAGATTCTAGAACATAGACACACTTTTCGGCGTCCAACAATTGTCATATTTCTTGACTTGAAGGCGGCCTTCGACTCCGTGGATCGAAAGGTACTATGGCAATGTCTGACTGTGAAGGGAGTGCCAAGAAAGTACATTGCACTAATCAAGGCACTCTATTCAAACTCACGTAGTCGTGTAAGGGCTTATGGGGAATTGTCATCTGAATTGGTAACAACCAGTGGTGTCCGACAGGGATGTCCACTTTCCCCATTTCTGTTTAACTTCATCATAGATATGCTAATGGAAGTATCCTTAACTGAACGTACCGACTTAGGAATCGACTTGTTACCAGGGAATAGTCTTATGGACTTAGAATATGCAGATGACATAGTCCTGTTAGGGGAGGATGCTGACAAAATGCAGCAGTCTTCTGAACACCTTGAGCAGCAATCTTCGTATGTTTGGCATGCGATTCGCCCCTGCAAAATGTAAGATGCTGCTACAGGACTGGACCACGTCAACTCCTAACTTAGTGATAGGGAGTGAAGTGATAGAACATGTTGACCACTTCACCTATTTGGGAAGTTGTATTAGCACCAACGGACTGATTGGCGATGAAATCTCAGAAAGGATCTCGAGCTGCTTTCGCTGACTTACACAACCTCTGGCGTAGGCGTGACATCCGGTTATCAACCAAGGGACGTGTGTACTGCTCATCAGTTCGCTCCGTCCTTCTCTATGGCTCTGAAACATGGCCAATACGAGTTGAAGACATGAAAAGGTTGACTGCTTTCGATCATAGATGTCTGCGATCTCTGTCTCACGTTAGGTGGTTTCACAAGATAAGTAATGTTGACGTTAGGCGTAGAGTGTTGGGCAAAGAGGGAAAATCAATCGACGAGACTATAAAGTTACATAGATTGAGATGGCTAGGTCACGTGCTGCGCATGCCTAACCATCGCCTCCCCCGACGGGCATTACTAGCTGATATAGGTGCAGGTTGGAAAAGGGTAAGTGGTGGCCAAACAAAAACATGGCCTCATCAATCCATGAAATCCTTGACAGTTAAACTGAGTCGGTCAGGTAGGGAGATGCAGACTTCCGGGTTGGGGCCCTCGGGACTCTCTAGGAATCAATGGCTGGAGACAATAGGTGACATGGCTCAAAATCGTTGTCAATGGCCAGCTCAGATGTATTCAGTCTCTGTAATCTTTCATATTCCTTTCTACCATTACCCATTCTGTTTCACTCTTATACTTGTCAGACTGTATTGATTCTCTTCACTCATCTTCTTGTCTACCTTTGTGTGCTATTTGGAGCGTGGCAACTCGAACTGGTGCACTTCGGTGCCAAGTTCTGTGTTGAATCCAGACAGACAGACTATTTAACGTCCACTTAAGGGGAAGTCATTATTATATAAAGAGTAAAGTCATAAGGCTAAAAGAGTAAAGTGTCCACAGATTAGTCACATCAAAACTAATGATTTTTCTACTCTCCCCTACGTTTGAAAATCGGTGAGAGAGATGAGAGGGTCAGTAGTCAAAGGAAACGAAATATAGTGATGTAAATGACAATATACTTTCTATGCGCAGATAGGCCGTGACTATTGTTTTTACTGTGTAAATTTGAACACAAGATGGGGTTGAAAAGGATATTTTTATTTGCTTTTTTGCTTAGTCGTACCTAATGCAATTTGCTAGTCATGTATATATTTGTGCCCTGGCCTATAATTCATACCTACTCTAAACAGTTACTTCACAAGGAGCCCATTGAACAGGTGGTACAGAGAGTAAGACGATATACATACACTTATGTACTACATGAAGCATCACTTCATGGTAGTTTAAATCACTAAACTTCATATTCACACACACTAAGTAGGAAAAATTTTTAAAAAAGACGAAAAAATGAAGACAGTACAGTTAAAGGTCACAGAATGTTGTAAGGCACAGAAAGAAAAGGTAATCCTGATTTTAAAAAAGTGAGATATTACAGTTTGAGTCTTTTTTTTATCAGAAACATTCATGTCGGTGGCACAGTGGTTAGGACTCTCGCCGACCATGCACATGGTCCGGGATTCGAGCCCACACCGGCGCACTATGGTCGGCCTGAAAAATTTGGGCTACCGATATCCATGCTGAAAATTCCATACTTGTACCAAAAATACAGTGTGGAATCAAGCTGTAAATCAAAAATTAAAAAAAAATTATTTCACTCGGAATCAGTTTTTCGTGTACTATAAGACATTTATTGTACGAGAAATGATTATACCATCTAGTTACTTAGGCTGAGGAAGGTGAAGGAGGATATAAATGCTTGGATTACTGGTTCAGAATCAAGTATTTAAGTAGATAAGCAAAAAATGCACAGGGATACGTATGTACTACCGAATTCAATAGTTTCTAGCCAAGTTTGTCGATAGTCATATGAAGTTCATCTATGCAACGTATATTTCCTATATGGTTCACACTAACAGCCAGGGACTTCATATGTTTGCATTATATCTTGATCTCCCAACTTAGTTCTACTCCTGATAATACAAAATGACCAAACACATCCTGTGCAGTCATAAGTAGCACATATCCCAAAAACCCCACGTGCTGGAGGTTCGCAAATTCTTCTACTGCAGTGTTTTTCCTACCTACATTGCTTATGTGTTGATTTCACTAAACAAGAAGAGTGCTTGGAATATTCAGATAGAACACTTGTAATTTTAATGAAATTTCTGATTTAAATGACCATGCTTCACAGTCATGGAGTATGGTGAGACACAGTGTTTGACCCATAATGGCGAATTCGACATTTTTCTTGCACCATAAATTTGTGCAGAAAACCAAACTTAAGCCTGTTTTACTTTGTTTTAGATAGTCTGGCTATTTGGACAACTTAGAGAAATTAAGTGTGACCTTTAAGATGTGTGGTGTTACTCTGTATTTGTTTCCCCTTCAGATGTATCTGCGATTTCACTTAAATTCATCAAATAAATTATTGTCGGGAAATAAATGCACTGAATTGGTTCAGTACCTTTGTATATACTTTTTGTACAGAATGATAAAATGCTTATAAATATATTGATAAGATAAATGAGTAAAAAAATATACCTGCCTGTTCATAGTGCAGAAATGAAGCACAAGGAAAGTTCTCTGAGATACTCTTTAATAATTGATAACTGATATCAGGAGGCATGTAAACAAGTACACATTCAGCGAGAAAGAGAGTTGGACAAGATTTAGAACAACCAGGTCCATCAACTGGGGAAAACAATATATCTAGAAACTCTTGAGCTGGTCTTCGTAAATCAAAACTGAGTAAGTGAAATTTCCCTTCATCGAAAATGTAATGAGAACCTTCTTGTGAAACATCGACTGACGAAGATATTTCATTGCGCGTTTTAGACCCTAGAATGTCAAATTTTAATGGGAAAATTAGGTTCACCAGTTAAAAATATAGCAAGTATGTTCGAAAGTGTGTAACAGGAAAGTAAGATATTAACTATGACATACAAATTCAAAACAACAATAATTAAAATAGGTATAAACTTTCTTTGAAATATTCCTCAGAATCGAAACTGCGTATATTTAAGATAAATAAAATTCCCAATGACAAAAAAAATTACATTCAGAACAATCCTTTGCTTACGGAACAGAGGCAATATGATAATCATATTAAACTATTCTTATCATTGGTAGTATTTCTCTCTAGTATAATTTCGTATTACTTCTATCACTAGGTTATCAAAACAACTGCTTTTTAAGATAAGGGATGCATACACAGGTTTTACAACTACAAAGGCTTAATCCTAGCTCTATGACAGTCGAAAACACTGTATCCTAATAAACAACATATAGGTACTTAAAGTGACGAAAAAACACTGAAATACACCTACGCCTGGTAATACATGAGCATATATATATATATATATATATATATATATATGGTTTATTTGTTAAGACAGTGTAAACAATTTGAGGAAGAGTAATTAGTCTTGCTGGAAAACAAGTTCACGAGTTATAAGAAATGCTCAGTAGTGTGCCTGAGGATTTGAAATCAGTTGTCCATGATCTCATTAACTAAATCATATCTGATCGAGACGAATTATGTTCAACTAGTGCTGTACAACAGTCCTGTTCCTTCAGTGGAAACCCTTTCACTAATCGCTCAAAGTCAGCGTCATTGTCGGAAGTGAAAGAAAAGCTGTTTTCAAAATTTCTAGTAGATGGACAAGACACTTATTCAGTTATAGCTAAACGCCTTCTGAAAATTTGCAGTTTGCCTTCAGTTAAGCGAAATTTTGAAATTCTTGTACCTGCTATCCAATTACAATTACCGACGCAAAGCTGATATTCGTGATAATTCAGGAAATAACGATTTTAGTGGTTTTGTCTCAGATTTGATGTCTCATCCTTCCTTTCAGTCAAAATCCAAACCTCCTACTCCAAGTGCAAGATCTACTGTAAGATCTGTTGACGCGCTGTTGCACGCAACGGAGGACCACTTGATCGATTTGTGGGACTCATTTACTGGTAATACATTTAAAGTTCCTCTTCTAAGCGATACCATTAATCGTCATATTCTTAGTCAACACACGAAAAGCTCTCCAGTTCTCAAAGCTCGTAGTCGGACAGCGGTTGCAAAAGTTGATATCCTCAGTGAATTATTACTTGGCACGAACTGTAGGACCGGAAATCTAGTTAAACTTAAGGATACAGTTGGTTTCAATGAATTAGTGATAAGTCCAAAAATTTCTGATAGTTAAAAAGTGCATTTCGAAGAATTCCTGCGTGTGGTTGGTTACATAATGGAACTCAACACTATAAATTGTGCTCAAAATAATAGGTTTGGTGGTATTAGCTTGCAATATGTTACTACTGGATTACATGAACATATGAATGGATAATATAGTCTACTTGCTACTTTAGAAACTGAATGGAACCAGGATAAACACATTTTCGGTGATCACTTCAGTCATTCAGATCAGAGCAGTGACTATGCTAGATATGTACACAGCTAATCCCGTCTAATGCCTGGTAGAGTAGATTATCGTGGTGATTGTAATACGAATGGTGGGATAAATACATCAGCACCATTGACAACTAGCCAACCAATGATATGAACCCGTTTAATCTTATGGACTACAGAGCCTCGGCTAAGACTAGGAGTTTTACTTACTCTATGCAATGTTTGTTGTGCCCTAGAAAGGTGGTGAACTAGCTTTAATGTGTACGCTCATACTCTTGACGGTAATCCTGAAATACTATAAATTATGGGGCATTTAATGTCAAAAGTTGCCTCAGGTGTATTACATTTTCAAGTATCATACCATAGTATAGGATGTGAAAATACAATACAGGCTTGGAATAAAGAGTTGGAGATTGACAGTGGCCAGTTCCGTACATGTTCTACGACTGCAGTAAAAGGGCTGACTTAGTGCTAATAAGGCGTATCCTTTACAATGATCCTGATGTCAACATATCTTCCAATTTCAGGACGGAATGTTCGCGCTTATATCAACTAGAGTGTGCTTGTGACTTTCTCCGATAGTTTTGAGTGAAAATTCTCCCCTGATCATGTAATAAACGCTTCTATTGTATCGATGAAAAATCAGAGGTTCAAAGACAAATTAAGTGGAAGTATTACATAAAGAAATTTAACTGCTACCCTTTAACTGAGCACTTAATACAAAAACAAAAGAATGGAAGCACTACCTGAAAGTTTAAGCAACTTTTTTCTCTCCAAAACCATGGCTTTGTATAGAACATTAGCTTTCATATCAACCTCGACATATATGTGTGGAATTTCTTCAGAATCTTTCAAAGAAAGATAAAGAGTATCTGAACCTGCACCAAGATTGACCACTTGACAGGCTCCACCTGTAGACTGTAGTAGATTAAGTGAAGTGCTTAAGGATAAGGAACCTTGATAAAAGATTTAGCAACTGCTCTGAATGCCGTTGTTCTTACGAAATAGCCACGGTTTATTTCTGGTGTCTTGTGTGCAGGAGAATTACAAAAATATCTCATGTACTTGTCTTTCCAGTACCCACGAGACACTGCAAAGGCTTTACTAGAGGTTGCGTCATCATTTGTAGACTGGATCACATCATCAGTTGGACCGCTCATTACAGTAGCGGTACTTCTAGAAGAGGCGCTTCTGAAAGCGACCTTCGGGTGTAACAGTCTAGTTCCAACTCCACAGCTTTAAATTCAGTTAGTGAAGGATAGCGGTCTCTTGTAGTCTGCGTTAATCGTGGTGGTATATATATATATGTATATATATAAATCGTTGATCGGCAGCACCCATTCTTTGGAAAAATCCAACAGTTTGTTGAGGTCCCCTAGCAACGTGAGAGCATCATTGCCGCGGTACGTTTGATGCTTATTATTTTCAGCTACAGTAAACGAAGGACCCTCTCGCTACACAATTTATCTGAAGAATAGTAGATACTGACACTGTCTCATACCAGAATCCCCTCGAATATAACACAGGCAACCAAGATTTAAGGATAGTAACAAGAAAACTTACTAACCATCCTGTTGACAGACCTAATTTTCTGAGAATTGCTGTTCAATCCCTCCTTAACAAAATGACTCACTTCGTAGCCTGACACGCATGGAATGGCCAACACTCATCCTGGCAACTGAAAACTGGCTAAGTAATGACATACTTGACAAAGAGCCGGTAACTGACAACTACGACATCCACAGAAATGATGGGGGTGGGCGTCTAATATATGCCTTTGAATCAACTGAATCTAATACTTTTAGTAACCCAGCTATAGAAATACTCCCAGAATCTAAGCCGATAGGCCTCCTCACGAGTGAAAAGCGATGATCTTGACATTATCCACTTTTGTATTGACCTACAATATTTCCCCCTTCACTGCACTCCGCAAAACATTCGTTCATTTTACTTGGCAGGGACAGTACTTTTGGTAACCATGTGTAGTTTTGATCAACTACATTCAAACACTGGTGAATGGAGCCGCCACGCAACGACGAAATGAATTAGTCTCATGCTCAGCAAAATTTTGATGACAAACAACAACGCATAATTATAGACAATAACACTGCACATCATTATAAAATTTCACTTGCTGCGGAATACACTTCCCAAACTGAATGGAATGATCACCTTAAAAGAATGGAATTAACCCACTACCCTGAATCTGATATCTTGTGATTTCTCCTAAGACACATAATTCCCCTGCAGATTTGGCCGCCACCTGGGGTTTGAAACCAGTTCCCCGTAGACTGTGCGAGGACTACCAAATTTTGTTCATTTACCGAAGGTCTGTGTATCCAAGTCCAAAATTTGCATTTCTTGAGTGGGCTACTGATTATATACTATTCGATTGTAATTTTTTGTTTTGTGATCACATGCTGAAAACATAGGACACACTAGGTCAGGTGTGAACTTGCAATGCAACAGAATGTAAAACCTGGTAATTTGACTCTCCATGCTGGAAGTGCTGTGCTTTGTTTTCGCCATAAATCTCCACCCTTCTGTATTCATTGAGTGACAAACCGAATTTCATCTAAGACTTAACCAAAGCTTTTCAGCTAATAACAGAGGCCCCAGAGGACTGGATACAGCTGGGACGTTCTACTGAATTCCTATGCTACTATAAGAGGTCAGAGTTCTTCAAATCAACTGGACCTCAGCCGTTTCTCCTCAGATGTCCAGTTGGTTTATCTTATGGTGGTAATATTTTCTCACTCGTTTGTACGTGAGGGACACAAGCTCACCAGCATCATCATTACGTTAAAGTGTACATGGAGTAAGCAAATCTGCGATTATTCAGATATGTTAGATATACATAAGACGAGGTAATAGAACAACATCCTTAAAGCCACTTCATGTAGGTAGAAGAAATCAAATTGGTATAATCCCAGGCATCATTACTGTATAAATTTAGCCAAAGTCACCTGACAATTGGAGGTTGAGTTACGTGTGGTAAATATAGCAGGCTATTCATAAAATGACAAGAATTTCGTGAATAACCCACCACATCTGCCATTCACAACGCAACCTTTGTCATCCCGGCTGAAACATGCGGTGGACAACTAGATTTTCAAGGGATGATCCCTTGTCTCCTGCGTTGTTTTGTGGTTGTGTATTCTTATACTCTCTCTATATCATCAATAGTAGATACACAGCTGAGCAGCCGTATTCGTATATTCGTCTTACACTACTTAGGACGGTGTTGAGAAATTGGATGAGGCACACCACTTTGAGTTGGCCGGGCTACAGAGTCAGCAAGTAATATGGCCGAGGCGCGGGTATGGGAGAACAAATGGCCTCATAGGGATGAGCGTTATGCAATTTGAGGCCAGCTGTAAGTGAACTCGAAGTCTTTCAAGCAGTTTAACTGACTAGATGCTTAGTTTGCAACCGGAAACCAAGAGTCGATTAGTGTAGAACAGTAGCAGATGATCAAGTGCTCAAGCTTAAGGATAGACACAAGCTGCTGAACATTATTAATTGTGGTCTCATCGACGCAAAATTTTCCAGGCGCTTAGAAGATGCGTCTGGAAATATCGTAGCACTTTCGCAACATTCAGTAACCGATAAAGAGTCATGTGATTTTGCGTCAATTAAGGATAAGTGGGTGGGAAAACGAAGTCAGACAAAGAAGGCCTTACAAATCAAAAGATGTAGTTTACACGTGACTGCCCACCCTTCTGAATTCCTTGATCAATAGCCGGTCTGGGTGGAAGTGCACACAAGGTATCGTAGAGAACTTACAATAGAACCAAAAAATGCCAAGAAGTCCTGGAAAGTTGTTTCGCCCCCCCTTTGGAACTCGCCATCAGTACAAAATACCATGGTTAAATCCTAGAAACTTATGGCTACAAGATGAGCACGTAGACAATACATCCGCTGGGAAGCCACATCGTTGTATTTGTACTCGAAATTGTGTATATGAAAATACAACATTTTTTCAATTACTTATATCAAAGGTGTCTACAGCTGCACACCTAGTCTAACTCTGTCAGCCACGTCTCATAAACCGTTAATGCCCAGCTCTGGCTGCACTCGGACTCACGCTGTTCCTTGGAGTTTCTCAGAAACGCTTAGTATTAACGGACACAAAAACCAAAACACCAATTGGCGACTCGAGGATTCTTTATTGTAATACCAACATATAAACACTGTTACAACTAAGGTCTGTGAACAAATATTACAATAATAAATCAAAATATTACTTCTGACGGTTTTCTGCTGACTTCCTTCTGAACAGCGACCGATGAGACGATGACTGTCGTATTGATGCCTCCGCGAAAATTGGGGAAGTTGGTTTTGAGCAAACAACCATGAATTGATCGATCAATCTTCAACTACATTGACACTCCCCGTCGAAAAAGGGATCCATCATTTTTTTCCATCACGACCAATACACGTTGACTTGGATGCCATTGCGAGAACCTGGGTCGCTCGGACAGAGTTGAAACGGAAAACAAACAGAAAAGCCAACACACCACAAGCATATCACACATCAATGACGACCTGAGCCTTCCAGTTAAAGGCATCCTCTTGACACATCCTCTTGCAACACAATCGCCACTTGCAGAATGCAAAGTGACCATAGCAGCACCTCACGACACCCTACGCACATCCTCTTATCTACCCACTACCAATTACCACTGCGATCGCTTGTCACTCATTCTGCCTCAGTTCTAGTAACGGTGACGTATGCGAGCCTCAGTCGTTTACACTCTCGCTCCCCGGCGTGTTGGACCACAGCTAACAATTATCTCCGTGTGCATTTCATTCTCAGCACTAGCCTAGCGTCCCCGGCGTATACGACCCATCTGCTGTCTCTAACATCAATCAATTCATTCATGGATGTAGAAGACTCGAAACAACTTCAGAAATAATCACGACGGAAATTTTAACAAAATTATGCAATAACAACAAGGTACGAAAACAACGAGTTAACACAATGAATCCAAAACACCACCAATTGATATGACACACCACACGTATATACAAACAGTACACACAAACTCGCAGATCGCGTCTCGATAGAATTCCTTTGAAGAATCGCAGGACTTACACCAGTACGCCTACAACCCTTCACAGGTTGACGGTTGTAATTTGTGGAATATCCGGACACAAACAAGATTAACCAACAATTACAATAATTGGAACTCACACAATTATTTAACACAAACATATGTACAATCAACACATCAAATGTTGTGGATTCCGGCATGACAAACTACCCTTGAAGAACTGTAGGACTTACAGAAGTACGCCTACATTCCTTCTCAGGTTGATGATCCAAGTGGAAGTCGTCCAGACACAAACAGAATTACCAACAGCTAGATGACAGATGATATCAATTCAGTATATACAATATGAACATATGTACAAAATCACACACCAAGCACATTGGACTGCTCATTGATGCGCTACCCTTTGAAGAATTGTAGGACTCACAGAAGTACGCCTACAACCCTTCTCAGGTTGACGCTCTAGGTTGGAAAATCGTTGCAGAGTTCATTTGCTGACTTCCCTCTATCAGCTATATCCTCAAATCTGAACGGAAACACACTCATGTCATTGTATCGTAGAACATAGATGACGAACAAACATGCGACGTATGTGGTCAACCAAGCGTAGAAACAGAGTAATTTACACCAAAGATAATAGCATTCAAATAGTAACTTGAAACTAGAAATGCCTTTATTCATGCAAGTCAATTTAACAATTACTCTCTCGTTTACACTTGACTTATTCTCACTGAACTGAGCAATATCTTTCGTCTTTTCAAATGCACCAATGCTATCAAAGTCATTGCACAAGATACTTGAGTTGATGGGCGTCTGTTTCATTGTGGATGACAACACCAACGACAACTGATTGATACCAGTTGATGAACTAAGCGGTGGATCAGAAGCTGTTGTTGTTCGACTTTCAGAAAATTCTTTAACTGCAGGATTACTACCACTTCTGTCTTTTACTATTAGCTCAGGTTTAGCACTAGCATCTGATGATAGGTGGGCTACATGCTGACCAATTAAACTGACAGTCTGACAAATATACAAGCCTGCTGCAACTGCATTTATTTCTACTTCAGCTTTGAGCTGTACAGAACCCTTATTTAACTTAGCAGTAGTAGGCACTCCCCTCATTTCATTATGATCTACCAAAGACTAATCTGCACTATCATGATCATTATCACAAATATTCAATTTACCATCATCTATCTGGTCGACTTCATCATTTTCAAACCCTTTAATAACAGAAGTAGATAATTTTGGTTTCTTCTCAAAAATCCTAAAAGGCTTTATAACTTCACTCTGACTAGTAACACCTTGTAAACTTGTGGAGTCAGAACTGCACTCTGAAGCAGTAACTCTATTCTGTGACACTCTATTCAACAATGGCTTACCAGTTGCAACTACAGACTTCTTCACCGCACCGTTATCGTCATGCAATTCGGAGTCAGGCCTGGAGTTTACATTTAGCTTATCACTGAACTTGCTCACTGATTCACAGCTCACCTTTGTATGCACCTCTTGCAAACGTGTAAAACACAACCGTGTTTGTCTTGCATCTTGTAACTTATCCGTTGAGGATGTACTACGAATCCTGTTACACACACTAGGTCTATATGCATTACTAGACATCATGGAGCCTTCCCGATATCCACCTTTCTGAGACCCTTTCGTCATCAATGATTGCGTTTTGCTCTCAGACTGCTCTATTCTACGGGTGAGATTCAATATACTGGCAAACTTGCTCATAGATTGATTGACACTATCTTTTACTAGTTTCAGGATATCATCAAACTTTGGCTCGATACCCTCATCCTCCATACGGGAGCTTATCTTCACCTACTTCCTTTGCAGTCGAGTAGGTAGGCGTCTTGCTATTACTTCTAGTATAAAACTCGAGTTGAGGTCACTCATGCAATTCATTGAAATCAATGAATTCTTGTAAATCAGCAAATTATTCAAAAACTCAGTAAGTGCCTTGGAGTCATCTTGTAGTTGACTACCATTACCCTTAACAGCCTCGAATAATTTCCCAACAATCATCGAAGGTCTTCCAAACCTTTGACGTAATATGCTTATAGCCTCGTAGTAGCCCTCTTTTGGCTTCATAAACGTACAGCCCTGTATAGCTCTTGCAGCATCTCCAGTGCAATACCTCATCAAATACATTAACTTCATTTCATCAGTTAATAAAAAACCACTCAACATGATCTCAAACTCCTTTACAAATTGTAAATAATCAGCCGGGTTTCCATCGAAACACCGTGGTTCAAATTTAGGGAGTTTGATGTTCCTATTATCCCTGAACGGCGAAACAGTAACATCAACCATGTCGTGTTTAACATCAGACACATCGTTACAAGTAACAGACAAGTCACAATGACTTACTTTCCTGTTTGCATCCAAGACGCTCTGTCCCTTCTTCGACCCAAGCATTATTGAACTTGACCCAATTCCAAAAATGTTCCAGATATTGCTTGTTCAAAGAGGACTTGACCGGCACCAGGATCGATGAACGGTGACTATCCAAACTGACACCAACGGTCCAAAACCGTCGAAAACTGACTAAACCGTCAGAAACTGATTTCACCGTCAGAAACTGTCAGCCACGTCTCATAAACCGTTAATGCCCAGCTCTGGCTGCACTCGGACTCACGCTGTTCCTTGGAGTTTCTCAGAAACGCTTAGTATTAACGGACACAAAAACCAAAACACCAATTGGCGACTCGAGGATTCTTTATTGTAATACCAACATATAAACACTGTTACAACTAAGGTCTGTGAACAAATATTACAATAATAAATCAAAATATTACTTCTGACGGTTTTCTGCTGACTTCCTTCTGAACAGCGACCGATGAGACGATGACTGTCGTATTGATGCCTCCGCGAAAATTGGGGAAGTTGGTTTTGAGCAAACAACCATGAATTGATCGATCAATCTTCAACTACATTGACAAACTCCTTTTTTCTGGGAAGGCAATAAAGTCTGGTTTAAAGATGTGTGTTACGCATTTGTGCCTCATGATCGTTGTCCGGTATTTGGGAAAATGCACCACGTTGACTACTAAAAGACATGCTACCTGGCAGAAATTCAGTTGGAACATCCGAGGAATTATACAGAATAATATGCTGTGCCCAACGAGTCCTTTTAAAACCAAGCGAGAAAAGGTAAAAAGCTTAAACTCTGTTTACTGAAGGCAGTGCTACTTCGCGAAGCAGAATGCCACGCAGTGCAGTTGAGTAGAAGCCACAGAAGCTATATATCACGGACTCAGTTATCAGGGTAACTCTTTTCTGTGAGATCACGTATTCAGACTAATGACCACCCCTATAGGAATTCTTGTAGGTCAAATGATTCCTGATTCGAGGGATTCCCAAAAAAGTCTTTGAGAAGAGTTCAATAGATGGAAATTTCGAGTTAACTTCTGTCACTCATTGTTGATTTGTTTTGCTCTTTTTGGATTCATCCTCTTTGGTCAATCTTCACATGTCTGCAGTGAGAGAGTGTTTTATTCACTACGTTCAACGTCTGCATGGTCATTTATGAAATGCGATGGACTCAGTGCACGCTTTACACTTGTCTTGCGGTCGTTGCATGCGAAAACATTCACAACCGGTTCACCCTGTGGGTTTGTCTACACGACGACTACATCTGGCTACATATTCCATTTTCGCCATCTGAAATCTAACCTATGTGTAAAACCTGAGCACTGTGGTGGTAAGAATCTCCATATTAGTTTGTTCATTACATGTATCACACAGTGAAACCGTAATATTTACTGGTTGACATTATTTACTGGACTACCTCTTTTCTATTATCTGTAGCCCAGACTATGATAATATTTTCTTGGCAAGCCAGATACACAAGGAGAAGTATTTGCTGTGCATTTATATCTTTCAAACGAACGCATATTTTACAGGGTTTTCTGCTTGTATCGATTTTGTTTTTCTGCTCTATATGGCTTTAAAAGGCCTTCGGCTTACGTTTTTACACGTCTCACCGCGCTTTTTGTGATGTTGCTGAGTGACCTTGTGGTTTATTTGTCCACATTATTTGTAAGAATTAATTATAGCAGCTCTGAAGTCTGATTTTTAGATTAGTGTTTATGGAGATGACAGAAATTCATGTGCACTTGCTGGCTTTACTCCCTTACTAAAATGTTCGTCGTGTTTAGAACTGAAGAAATTCCAGTTGCAAAAGCTTGAGACATCTTGTACTCAGTGCTGTGAAGATGAAAATGTGTCTGTAGTATCCAAGGTTTGTATAAGTGTTTTATTTATTCTCTTAGAAATATCCTTTTGCTGAACTGGTCACATGTTCCTGATCTTTAGAACGCTATCCCCAAGTGCTTGGTAAGTTTTAGAATATAAGTAACTCAAGAACCAAATATATATCAGTGTTTTTAAGTTTAAAATTTGCCCTAATTCAAGCAGGATTGTCTCATTATATCACAATACATTCCACTTGCCCAAAATTAAGCCCATTTTGACCATTATATAGCCCTTCTTTGCCTATTTCGCTTCGACTGCTCGCTGCAGTGGTGTAATAGAACTACGATTCAGATTTGCCAGTGATCTATCAAGTTGTTAACAGTGTCTCGAGTGAGAGCAGTTGGTTTACGAAAAATAAATGGCCTGGTAGTACGTTTCAGCCGTTAGAGTAAGGTATTGGTATTTTCACTGTATAATGAAAGCAAGATTACCACCCACATGTGAACTATATATATATATATATATATATATATATATATATATATAAACAATTCGTAGCAGGAATCTAACTAGTGACCATTGAATTACTGGGTCTAAGGTGTCAGTTTATACCTAAGAAAACATTGTACTGCATGTGCGAATTGCTGAATGTGGCATGCTCTCGTGAACGCTGACTTTTATTTCCTTTGGATGTTATTACGCAGGTGTTTTTATCAAATATCACTGGTAGAGTAGGTATGTAGCAATTTCTGTGCTGTAGAGATACAATTTGGAACCAAGTGTATAATTGAATTCAGGTTGCAACGCTTCATAGCCTGATGTTCTGGAAACAAAGGGAAGTACAGAGGGTCTGTATATCTCTGTCTGTTTTCGACATACAACTTTGCACATATGTGCACCAGTTCAAGTCGCCACACCCCTTCCTTGCAGAACACAAAGCAAGAGAAGAAAGTACAAGAAAAGCATAATAGAAACAGTGAGCAGAGGTGTGAGACAAAGGAAGAGCAATAACAAAGAACAAGACAGTTTCATTGGAAATCATAAGTCACAAGGAGTGGATGCATCTGCGCTAGCCACTGAGAACGATTTTGAGCCATGTCACCAATTGTTTCCAACCATTGATTTTTACCGTCCCGAGGACCCCAGCCTGGAAGTCTACACCTTCCTACATGGCTTAGACTAACTGTTGTAGATTTCATTGACTGGTGCCGGAGGGTAAATAGTCTTTAAGTTTTGCAACCTCAAGGTCTAAATACATGTACCCATATGTATTTTACACAGTTCAATAGAACAATCAACAGCTCCCTGTGTTAGTGTCACGTCTTTATTTTAAAAAATTTGGTATAATTGGGGGTATGAAGAGATGCGCTGCACAAGGTTATGAAACAAAAATATGAGTATTAGTAGTCTACGGGCAACAGGGTAAAAACGACAGCATTTGAAAAAGTGTTTATTTTGCATCACATTATATTCAGGAAAAGAGGAAAGTAGAACTAATAGCTTGTCTGACATTGGTTATGTATCATTTAATAAAACATCGAGACACAGATTCGCAAGATCTCAGTCCTCACCAGAGTTGCGCATAACCAATATATGCTAACCCAGCTATCTTCCATCTGACTATTCCACTTTGGGAACTGATGTCTCCACTTCATCCAGCCAGTCATTTGGTTAGTAAACAGTGATCTTACCTAAGCTAATGGTATGGTATTCGTGAAATATGTCACTATCACCAAAACTTGTATCTTTTGTTGTCAGCACTCATTGAAAGATGGTTTCCACCGTGTCTGTGCACACACTGTCGGACCTCGAAATTGCTTACATGGTGAAATCACGTGGTTCAAAGAGTTCTGCGAAAATATTGGTGATTCGGCGCAGAGCTACTGCGCATCCTCTGGTTGGAAGGGTGTGTTTGCTTTGACATAAAGCAAGGCTACAGGCACTGAAACAGTTTAAGCTCAACCTTTGAAGTCCAGGCTAGTGGTGAGGATCCAGGTTGTAGCCCACGATAACGTACACCGCTTTGCATTGTGCTACACAATTGAAAATGTCATCTGTCGAACCCCACCAGACACTGGCACGACTTCCTATATATATGAATAGGCTGTGATAAATTAAAACAACTTCCGACTATCGCCAGGCTCTGTTGCTGCTATCATCTCACACTTTCTGATATGCAGACTTCAAAGTCCTTACATTATGCGTCCTAGTCAAAACTTCATGTCTTCTAATTTGCACCAGTGTATGAACATCTTAGGTTGCAAACTGGAGCATGGAAAGTTTTGTCAAAGAAGTCTTGTTGCACTAGAGGTCAATTATCTAGAGAAACGAATTAATGACTGGGGTTTCGAGTAGTAACAAGCAAGAGGTAAAACTTAAGTTGGTGACAAATGTAAAAGATGACGAAAATAAAATAAAGCAGTTCTTTATGACGATAACAAGACCAATATAATGAAGTGAGTGACTAAATATGTGCTTCATGATGTACTAGGTGCGGTGGTTCTTTTGGAACTTTATATTAAATAGTCCCATTAATCTTGTTAGTAGTGAAGAGTGTGGATTAATGTAAAAGAGTAAATATATGGTCAGTGACTTTTTGTCATTTTTTAGTTTTCATTCTATACTCGGAATCGTTATCTACTTTGCTTTACAGTAATACCGTTCTATGAAAATATTAAATGAGGGTGACATCCCAGTATCATCGTTTCAAGATCACAAACTCTCATTCCTTGCTTTAATTTGCTACATATTTTTCATTTGGTCTTCTGTTTAGCATTCATCGACAGTAAGGAGAGAAAGAAAATGACTAACCTGAAAGTGGTATACGAAAGAGGTCATAGACCTGCAGTTCGTATGCTTAACGAAAACCGCCAATTACAAGAAGAAATTCCAGTCGACACTTGGGATAGCGACACAATAACCGAATTCCTTAATGAACGTCTAACCCATTAAAAACAGCACAACCATTCTTTTATTCATGGTCTATCATTTGCACTTGTGATCTGTATGATGATGCATGAACTAAACTTCATCCATGAAATGTTCTGCATCTGATGTTTGATCCAGAGTGCTTATGATATACGTTGTATTAATTTACATCGTGTGCTGATTCTTTCTGTAAAGTTTTCTTTTACTATCTTTTCTTTTTATCTGTTAGAAAGTACCTTATGCATAATTTTATGTGCTTGTTTAAAAAACACCATTGAAAAGGATTTTACATCATAATATTTAGTATTTTATCGCTTAGCATGAAGTAAACTTCATGTCGTTTTTTATTTGTTATGGATTTTATTACGTTCATTTAAATAAATGACTGAACTTTTTTTACACTTTCAAGTCTGGAAGTATTCTTTGAGTAAAATTCTTTGTATTCAGTTTATTTTTTGTTTATGAGAGAAACCCCATTTCGACGATTTTCATATTATACGCTCCAACTACTGTTACTTTGTTGGATTTATCCGCATTGCTGTTGTTATTGTTGTTTGCACTGTAGATAAGATGGAATGCAGCTTATGGTTGTACAGGACTGCAGGTTGGGACGTTATAGAGCATCATTGCACACTTCCATCGTTTCAGAACCCGCTCACATCTCTTATAAGATTTATTTGTTAAACGTTATCTGTAGTTTTCATTAGATATCTATTTGATATGCTTATCCAAACACCTAATCTAGAGTATACATGTACCTAGAAAGGCGATTATTGTTTTCTGATAAAAAATCAGTTGAATTGGGGATAATAATGCACTTACGGTTAAGTATGATAACTTTAAAGCCATCTTACCAATACAAATATCAATGCAAGATATACTATTTTTCAGAACAGTCCTTTTTATATACGTCTCACGTTATCTTTTGAAATGAAAGAGTGAAGATAAAGAAGTAAAAGGATAATCTGCAGTTGTAAATTAATACAAAACAAAAAGATTAGGTAAAATAACGAAAGAGACGTGATGTTATAGTTTGAGTAAGAGTATAGCGTAAATGCATTTATGCTATTTTGGCTGGTGCTTAGCCGCCAATTATACACTTGTTTTTCAACCAATGAGTCCCAAATTTTAACCCTGACTCACCTGCCTCAGTGTGAGCAGCTTGATAATATCATCAGTCTTCACATAATAAGTGTTGATTATACCGCTGGTACATGAAATATATGTCCTGGCATATTACTTCGGATTTCTGACTGTTACTTTCTGTTATTATTGGGATCACACTTAGACAGTTAATATTTACAAGTTTACTTCTCCTAGACTTCGTAGTTCTTTTGGTTCGGAAAACTGACCTCCGTTTAAAGTAAGTCCACCTAAACTGTCACCGTATTTAGGATTAAGCTAGTGTTGTTGAGATAACTTTAATCTATGTAGAACTTTATTTATTGTTAATGTAAAAAACTGGATGCAATATTGTAGTAAAATGCTGAGAATTCCATTCTGTATCACAAGTACTGATTTGGAATAAAGCTTATGTTATGTTATGTTAAAACACTGCGATGACAGGTATCAGTCTATACTGTTACTGTATTAGCAGTGATATTTAGACACATACACATGTTTTGCTTCATAATATAGTACCAATGTTCATTAGAATGTCACTTCTCTCAAAATATTACTTAAATGCAGCATCTCGATTAGATCCAAAGCTTTAGTAGGAGAATATAGGTTGTATCAGCGTAAACACTTGATACTCGCCCAGCTCATGTTACTATACAAATAAACAATTCTGGCTAAATTTAGTAGTAACCTTTACGGTCACGTGTCAAAACAAAATATATGAAGTCAGTGATAAATGTCCTGTGTAATGCAAGCAACTATAAGATTCTTAGGACCAGTATACTGTGTAACAGGAAATGGATTTTTAATATAGGTTTATCGATGCTAGTCTTTGCATTATTGTATCATATCTAACCTCAGCTCCCTCGTGGACTATTTACACTTGTTAGTAGCCGTAGATTTATTTCCAGATGACCAAGAGACTTATTGGAAATTTACTCCCGAATTAAAACAATGGAGAGAAATAATTTCAAGGTAGATATCTGTTGCTTTTAAGCTAGAATTCTTCTTCAGTACACGTCCATAGCCCCATGAAGGGTCAAGTTGAGAAGCAAACACGTTACTGGGTTGCAGTTTAATCGTCAGTGAATTGTGACCTCCGTCAACTCTCCAATAACATCGGAGGATATCTTTCTTCAAAAGTGATAGAGAACTTTCGAGTACTTATACCATCTGACTTCAAAATAAAACCGTTGTTGTATCTTGGAGTTTTAGGGTTTCTTGACTGGAACTATCTAACTGTGTCTTGTCGTCTAAGTGTTTTGACTTTAACTTTGGTCATTTGTGTTTAAGTCAAGCTGTGAATCTTATGATTACCAGCTTGGTTTCTTTGAATTACTATGCGAATGACTTCATTGTCGCTTCATTTCATCAACTGAAGTCAAACACTAGAAAATAGTCTTTATTCAGTTGTTCTCCTTAATAGTAACGTAAATTTGTAGGGGACTTTCTGGCGAGCTCAATAACAGAATAAGTATATGAATAAAAATCCAACTTAATGAGATGATAGTGTAACAGTATGTTGTAAAGAATACAGTAATGAGTTATATAAATTAGTCGGTTACTTGGGTATACACGTAAAGTCCACGGCTAAAAATTATTAATATAATCCACAAGCATTCACTGCTGCAGTCGTGTAGAAGCTGTGTACAGGTTGCAGAATAATCTTCGAATGATGATAAGAGGTTCCTGCGAAAAACCAAAGTATACAACACAGTTATGAGTGAAGCATATAGACGGTATAGACTAGTGATAAGACGAAACTGCCAGCAGTACACTGTATTTCAGAGTGTACTCGGAAGTTATCTGTATTCCAACATGAATCGTTTTAAACAAAAGTTATGTACAATGTCTCTAATTTCAACATCTAACAAAAGAGTGTACAACCATATTGTTACGTACTCCACAAATTAGCTAGATACAATATGGTTTTCAACTCAATTATTTTTTTATTTGACGTAACATACAGTGATGAAATATAATTAACTAGATTGTATTTCATGAACTCATTGCGTTTTCAACGTAGAACCTTGCACAGACATTCAACCGTCCAAATTATCATAATCAGATTAAATGTAACGAAAGGAAGTGTACGAGAAAAAGGATAAGTATGTGGAGAGTGAATGTATCTTTGCCACTGAGAACGATTTGCAGCCATATCACCGACAGTCCCTAATTGCTGGATCTTAGCGTCCGGTGGACCTCAGTAAGACAGTGTACACTTCTCTACACGATTTAAACCAACAGTTAAGGACTTCATAAACTTCTGTTATGTTATGGTTTCACCTACTCTAACACTTCTCCAACTTAATCGTGTGTCAGCTAATACTGCTTGACGAGGAAATCTATAGCTCAGCGTGCATAACACGTTCTAGCCATCACGATCGATACAGCTTCACAACCTCATTGATTTATTTTCTCTCCTTATCTAACACTCGACATCTAACCTCAATACTACTCGTTATATTATACCACTTAACACGGAACATAGAACGCAAATAGCTGGCCTCTTCAAGTCTTCCATTTTCAATGGCCATGCGGTAGCCATAAAGAGGGATAGAGTGAACTGTTGTTCAATACACGTATCCTTTGACCGATAACCGGATACCATGCCTGCGCAACAGGTAATATTTGGAATAAACTTTATTGTTTTCAGGTAACTCAAAGTGGTCATAAATTTTTATATTTCAGTGTCATTTGTTCTTCAGTTTTTAATGTTGTCTATGATTGATGAGTCATGCCGACTGCACGTATTTAGCGTTGATTCAATAAATATAAGTATTTCAGTCAATTTCTACTTCCGTATAACTATACTGAATTTTAGAGCTTCCTAACATTTCTAAAACCGTTTGTTTCAGTACACGCATTGCCACATGAGATAAATAAGGTAACTTTGCCATAGTCTCAAAGTTTTACTCTTATTTCAACTGAATCAGTTTGAACACGCGTAGAACAATTTTAATTCGAAGGGAAAGAGGCATACAGTCTTTATGTTCGTATTTGTTCGGCCAGTATTGTGGATTGGTGTCAGTGGTGCTCAATCAATCACCTTTCACTAAGAAGTATTAAACTCGCAATCCTTAGATTTAAGTATCCTATGAAAGAATACGTGTGAAACATTACTGGTCGTAGAAAGTGTTATAAAAACAAGACAATCATCAGTTTCAACCTTTTAAACCCTATTTTGTTGTGTGAATACCACCGAATTAGTGGTTTAGTTGTAGAATGTTTGGCAACTACAGACGTCGCCTTGGTTCGATTCCTGACTGACATACTAGTCTGTAGTAAGTCGCAAAAAGAAGAAACGTTAGACGGGATGTTATCAACTCGAGCTCATATAAACAATAATACTACCTCTACCGAAAACTCAAATCTTGAAATTGTATGTTTCATCCGAAATGTAAGGAATGAGGAAACAAAATCATTTATTTCACCGTTATAGTAGCTGAAATCTACTCGTGTTCGACAACCGATTACAAATCGAATATGCGGACAACATTCATATTGCTTGAAAGTATTTTAGTCATTTGAAAATGTTTCTTGAGATGAGTGGAACAAGCTTTATTTTATTGTCGAGTTCTAGGTAAAGAGGGGAAATCAATTGACGAGGTTGTGAAGTTACATAAACTGAGATGGTTAGGACATGTGTTACGTATGCCTAGTCATAGCATTTCTCGACGAGCAATGTTAGCTGATAGAGGGTCAGGCTGGAAAAGAACTAGCGGCGGTCAAACGAAAACATGGCACCAGTCAATGAAATCTACAACAGTTAGTCTAGGCCAGTCACGTAGGAAGGTGTAGACTTCCTGACTGGTTGGGGTCCTCGGGACGGTAAAAACCAATGGTTGGAAACTATTGGTGACATGGCTCAAAGTGATCGTTGTCAATGGCTAGCGCAGATGCATCCACTCCTTGTGACTTATGATTTCCAATGAAACTGTTTTGTTCTTCTTTACTACTATTCCTTTGTCTCACACCTCTGTTTACTGTCTCTATTATTCATATCTTCTTCTTCTGCTTTGTGTGCTACATGGAGTGTGGAGACTTGAACTGGTGCACATATGTGCAAAGTTCTATGTCGAAAACAGGCAGACAGATTGCCGAATACGGCAATACTATTTGTTAATTAAAAGAGATACTACTGAATAATATGAGTAGTAAATATTTTTGCTAGTGCTCTAACGAAAGTGACTGATACAGTCAGTCACGCTTTGTTTTTGTTTTGAAACAGAGTTTAGTGAAATGCTTCAAATAAGACTGAAAAATTTCTTCAAAAGTAAAATTTTCATTCTAAACAGACATTAATTATGATTCGTAGTGTTCTCGCGTCGAAACCCGACTTCATCAGCTTGATCATACATTAAACTCTGGGTGGACATCTTCGATGAGTTCAGAACTAGTAGTTTTCACAGTACCTCTGACTTATTTCAGCTTACATATATTCCGATAGTTTTCATATGCACCAAAGATACATGGATGACACGAGAATGCTAACATCAAGATGGGGAGTTCAACAGCCGCCGTTATGCGATCTAGTTCACGTCGGAATCAATGATGAACTTGGAATTTCATTTTTTTGATGTTTCACTAAAAAGCAGATCTCATGGTTCTCTTCAAAGATTAATCTACAGGAAACCAACATGGAATGGTTAATCCATGAATTTTCATTGTTGAGTGCCTTTGAGAAGAAGGAGAAATCTGATACACTCCTTATCCTCAAGAAGAAGAAGAAGAAGGATATGTTCCAGTGATATA